CACACCTGTGACCACCACATCATAAGCATCACAATCCTATAATTTGAACTCTCAAGGATCCGACGGAGGAAGGGGAAAAGAAACAACACTGCAGCTAGTATATTTGGCGCCAGGTATATAACAACAGCTAAGATAAACAAGGAAGGTGAACTTGCACTATTGCCACCAAACCAGTTTTTGATGGTTTGAGCAAAAACTGGAGGATTCTCCCAACTATAAGCGTAGGTAACTGGTAGAACAATCACCCACGCAGCTGCTGAAACAACTTTCAATATGTATCTCAACTTAACATGAAATGACATACTCCTCTGTGCTTTCCAACTGAGTATTACATCAAGGACAGCTACAAAAAATATACAAGAAAAAATTAGAGGTTATACTCAGCTGAAACGCATTAGAGGACAGCCTCACTTTCCAAGAAATGAAAGATCTTCTTTCCAAAGAGAAACTATCAATTTATAATTATATGGCCTGAATAAAAAAAATGCAAAGAATCAGAAGAACAAGAGAAATCGAATATAAAGTCAAACTCAAATAGTTAATAGTTGCTTTTTTTAGGTGAGGATTCAGGCATTCAAGGAATCTAAAATAATGTAAGTGGATGGAAAAAGGGAAATATTGAATCTAGAGAGTAATATTGGCAATATAGAGGTGCTACTTCTGATTCCAAAGCCATTGTGCAATCAAAAAGTTGGAAGGCTGCAACCATGAACCCAATTATCCATTCATGTTTTCATGATTTAAAACATCAAGGGAAATTGCGTTGTTCACTTCCTAGGATTATGCTCCAATCTGCTTCCTCGATAGCTTACTAGATTATATTTTGGTACCAGTTGCCTTGAGTAGGCTTAGAACAAGTTTTTAATAAGAATGCATCTTCGCATAAATCCTTTAATATTAATTTTACTTGAATATCAAAAACTAAAAGGAAACTTTTTTTATCAATCATTGATTTTACGTTCACTGTGACCAGTTTGATCTTCCTTCTTTAATGACAACTAGCATTCTCCAAACCTCAATAACTTAAAATTTATTCTTAGAAAAAAATAATAAAAGAGTTCATTGCTTTGTAGTTTGAATTATATCGAATTGTAAAATAAAAATCCTTGGATGGGGGAAGACCCTCAATAACAGGGATTCACCCCTCATTCAAGGATTTATATTTTGCAGTTCAATATAGTCTAAATTGCAAAATACTTTTTCAATAATAAAATGCCAAAACAATATTTTACTTTTAATAAGCTACATTAAATAATGATAATTTCATCAAGCAATTTGTGGACCATACACTACTCTCTATTATTCTTAAGACACTACTTTAGATATCACATAAATTTATATAGTTAAAAAATAGTAAATCACTATATCGTGGCAAATGACATGATAAATCACTCAAAAAATAGCATTGAATTCTCAATTAGTTTTTAAAAAATACAATCAAAATCCTTTTTTGTTTTCTTAAAAAAAAATTATTCACACTAACATGTGATTTTTGTTGTGAAAAAGTAAGAATAAAAAGTTTTATAAAATACTCTTACACTTAATTACAAAAGGAAAATTTAGCTAGATACACAAAAAGTGGTTTGTAAGATAAAAGTGAGGGGGTAAAAAAGGAACTTTGACGGTGGAGCTGGAGAGATATGCCAGGTGAAAGATTATAATGACTAAAAAAGGCATCAATTAAGAGAGAAAGTTAGGGGCATGTGAGGCATTTAACTTTGATTTGTTGTTAAAAGACGAAAAAGGACTCCACAACTTTTTGATGTTGAAGTGCCTTGGGAGACCAAAGAGAGGCAAGAAAGGTAATGAACCTTTAGTAGAACTTATGACTTGTGAGAGGGCCAAATAAGAGAGATAGAAAGAGAAAGTGAATGATGAGACAAATAGGAAAAAGGGACCAAATAAGAGGGAGATAGGAAGAAAAAGTGAGTGATGAGAGAGAAAGGAGGGAGGACTCAAGATTTTTATTATTAGATGTGGAGTGGAAGGCCACACCCTACCTGCTCAAAGAATGTCTAGAAGATAATGCTTGGATGCTAAAGCAAGAACTAGTTACATTTACCACTTACCTTGCCCAAGCTTCAAGATAGCAGCTGTGATAAAGATGCTCAATACTTTCTTAAACACATCAGCAGTAAATATTGCGCTTGGATCCCCCGATCCATTCCAGGCAATAATGATCATACCCTTGCAAAAATCAGCCATGAATACCACACCATGTAAAATCAAATGTACCAAGGAAAAAAAAAAGTATTGCAAGGTGTGGAAAAGATATGACACCTGCAAGCACAGAATGAAAAAGCTCCACATTTGATCAAAGCTTCTGAAAATATGCCAGAACGAACGAATCTCAACGAAGTTAACCTTCCCCACCCATCTATCTCTTGTAGTTGATGGCTTTTCCTCCTACATACAACAAAAGCAGCAACAAATTAAGAGCTTGTTGGGTCTAACTGTAGCTTTTCTAGAAGTGTTGTTTGTGTAGACCTTTTGCAGGACAGCTAAATCATGATTTCACATAAAATAATCATTAAATATTTTTTAAATTGATAAATCATCAAAGTCAGAAACTTAACAGCAACTCCAGACGCTACAAGTTTGTAGCTTCAGCTGCTAAAAACAGCTTTAGAAAAGCCAAAAGCATTTTTCAGAAAACTACTTTTGGCCCAGCTCCAACTTTTGCAGCAGAGAAGATCCTTTTAGAAGCTGGGCCAAACAGGCAGTCAGGAACTAAGGCTCAATTGTAATGAACATGGACAACAAGCAACATATAGTAACCTTCTAGGAAATACTCGTGTATTTAGAAAAGTAAATTAGATCTGTACAATTGAACAATAGAAATCTTATTCATTTATCTACTGAAAGCCTTCAAGACTGATGCTAAAAACCATATATACAACAACCTTCAAGCAAATATGACACAGGAATCACACTTACCTCATTTTTCTCACGAATCTGCTCAATAGGCTTACAAAAAAAATCAGCATCTGCACGCATTGGCCAACCCAGCCGAAAGCAATCAACAGACCTATGCTTAAACACAAGCAAATTAATCCTAGGAATTTACACAAGAAAGGAGAAACAACAAATAACAATAGTCCTACCAGAAGTATTCATTTAAATCATCATAGTTTCTCCATTGTGAGTGCTTTGATTTCCCCCGTCTGCTCCTTTCAGCCTCCTGTAAGAAACGTGATCATAACAACATTTATCTTTACCTTTTAGTGAAAATCACACAAAAAGGAGAAAGGAAAGATAGCATACCCTTCTAATTACTTCATATATAGGTGTAACAACTTTCCTCAAGAAGGCTTCTTCTTCACCTCCATAGGCTGGCTTCACATTCTCTCCCGTCATGGGACTGACATTCCCAGCTAGCATACCATACAGTTCAAATGCCATCTAGAGAAAGCAAAGTACCATTTAGTATTTAGTGAAGCAGAATAAATTCACTACTGAAGTCACTTAAAAAATAGGCAGTATGGTCAAATGTCCTAGTCCTGTGCACTGGACACAACACTAATTGTGGGGGAGAAGCTTCATAGTTGAAGCACAATCACAAATAAATAAAAAGGCTGCTATCAAGTAGTGACAACTGTAGAAACAGATTAACTAGAAAAATTGACAAAAAACAAGAAAAAAAACCCAGAAAAGGAAAATTTTCATGACATGGAAAAACTGGAGGTAATGAGAGTATTGAATAATATCATCTTTTAAAAATTGGCACCATATGGTTTGACACTAATTAACCACTTTTCTACGTAAAACCATAATGTTATATATTTTTCACTCATTTGTGGACTTGAGTCAAGTACCTTTTTACTGGCTTCCAAGTTCTCAGGTTATAAATATTCAGTTATGTGGATTTCTAAGAAATGGCATTACAATACCATCAAAGGAAGAAATTCAATGGGTGGCATGCAGAAGTGGAAAAATTCCAAAACATTCTGTCACATGCATATAATAAAATGTAAAGACAACCTAATCATTAAAACTCATGCTTAGAAGTGAAACCAAATAATGCACTATAAAGATTAAGACATATCAAACAGTCAGCTTTAAATAATTGCCTAGCATGGAAGCCCACACTCAATGTGGTTAAGTAAATAACTATGAACAGTTACAAGAAATGAAAAACTTTCAAGCCATACATGATGATAAATATAGCAGAGGCATTCCGGCATGAATCTCAAGTTTGCAGCTTCTCCCCATATTAATAGATACAGACCCATGTATAACAATTTACGTTGTTGCACTTCCTGTTGAATGGTTGGCAGCCTGCAGATTTGAAACTCCATGAGGAATTAAGGCAAAATAAAAAATAAATAAATAAAAAATAAAAGCAATAAAGAGAAAGAAAGGAAACAGAATACAAGAAAACTTCATCATTTAGAAACAATCACAATCAGCCATAAAATATTCCCAGGGATTTGAAGGGGGGTTCGAAAAGGACTTTCTTTTCTTTTTTTTTGGGTACGTGAAATAGGACTTTCTGGAGCCAACGCGAGTGGAGCAAAAATTTATCACTCAACAAAAACATAGAATCTTACCAAAGACTACTTTTCCGATCCAAATACTTGCACCATTTTTTGTAATTCTTAAAAAGCTTCCTCATTACCTCTGTTAGTGCACGATCATCCAACTGTGAAATTATAGGGACAAGTATGTCAAAATCAAAACACAAGTATTAACTAATGATATAACTGAATCTTTCAAGGCAAGATGAAGCTATTAAGGCAACAGGTATGGCCAGTTTGGGCATATAAACTGGCCATATAGGTGAGAGAAATTATGAAGTTCCGCCATGTATCATCAGTGGATTGCCCTTCAGTAAAACAACCTAAGAGTAGATAAAGCACAAACCTTGGGTTGCTGCTGATCAGGCTTTGGAAATTGTCTTATGTGAACATTAGCAAGTAGCAAGATCAGGTGCTCCCTCTGGTTTGCCACATTATCTTTCTGCAGAATCATCAAATAATTATGAGCGTTACTTAAGCAAACAAATTTAAGAGGCTCTCAACTTAATCATAGTTCACCACCATGCTTCAAACATTTAAGGAAAGAAAGAGTTCAGTTTGTTTCACCTGAAACCCAAACATTTCCTGAAGCCAATCTAGAATATCCTCATCTTTCTTCTTCTTGCGGTCCTTGGTCCATGGAAGACCCCTGGTGTTGCGAAGAGCATAAACAACTGCTTGGATCTTCAAATTGAAATGAAAATAACAACCATATGTTAAAAAAAGATAAGTAAAAATGAACTGAAATATCAAAACACTACATCAGAAGGGATTAAACTTTGAAACACACACCTCAGGATATCTCATAATTGCCTGATTTGAACTATCTGGATCAAGAGGAAGGATATTGTAAGGAACATAGATCTGTGTCTTCTCTGCAACTTTATCTTGAGCTTCTAAAATCTGTACAATCATGCATAGAATCAGAAGGTGCTTATCAGGATCCATTTGAAGCTCACTACTGCCAAGTAAATTGATCTTATAAATAGAAAGCATAGAAAATAATATTAAAATTGTTCAAAGAATAGATCATAAGTAAAGATATCTCAATAGTTTCACCTCTCGATCAACTTCCATTGATTGTGTCAAATTAACAGCCTTCAAAACTTCAAAGAGAACATTCGCAGTTTGGTATGCTTTCGTAAGCTGTGCCCTTTTAGAAACAGAAAATTAGATGTCAATTCCAAAACATGTTATCCAAAAAGCTTCTATCATATATCCCCATTTTATTTTCAGACTGACCGATCAGCTTTGTCAGCAGCATTTTGTAAGGCCTGGATGTACTTTTTGTAATAGTGTTGATAAAAGCTCTGCATTTCACGGGCATCACTTTTTTTAACCCGTCCCATTAAGGTTGGATCATGCTCCTGCAATAATACATAAATCCCCTCATCAAACCAACAAAAGTCATAAAAAATTTAAAAATCTTAAAGCAATAGAAAATCTTATTCCACAGCCACAGGGCAAGTAATATTGCATCAGCAAAGTTGTGGACTGGCAAATCAAACTCCACTTGCCAAATAGGCTCAGAATCTGTCAGATCAGTAATGATGTGCAACACTGGAACTGATAATCCAACTCACCCTCTCAAGACGTTGGAGGAGTGCAGTTTTAAACTGGCGAACACCACGTCCACTTGAAGTAGGATCCAATCTATGAGCCTTCTCAAAGGCATAGAACCGACCTGCATTTAGTACCATAAAGTATAGATGTTAGTAAAAGGAAACATATGGTAAATCGGTTTTACCTTACATGTGTACCAACAAAGCAAGCAGCAAATCTATTACATGGATGCAAAGGAACAAGTGATGAAGCGAATGCCATATCATCTTTAGCATCAGACATGGACACAAGTTTAGAGGAGTCATGGTATCCTTTCTGACATTTGGGGGAACCCATCAAACAACTTAAAAGTGTCTGTTTCACTAGAACCTATTTTACAACAGGTTGCAAAGAACAAATTATTTCATTTATGGTGCTTTAAAGATAATTCTCTGTGGGACAAACCGTAAAATTCCACTTATTCAGTAACATAGCCATCCATCAAATGGTTTCTTGCAGAAATACAAACAGATTATTTTTATAACAGTATATGCTAGTGCTGAGACCATAACTTACAAGAAATCAGCAGCTAAAAATCCTTTTATAAGTACAGCAGATGATGGGTTATATAACAGGGATAGCCCTCCCCTTCCCTTAATTCCTCCCCACCCATCTCAAGGTTCAAACTTGAGATCTCCAACTTAAAGTCTCAAGCTCTTAACCACTTGAGACACCCCTTGGGACAGCATAACACAACCTTAGCAATACGGAAAATCGTAGACAGACTAGTGTTGAAAAAAACTCAAATAAAACCACATTATCAACCAAGATTCGGCACGAACTTACAAAGATAAGCCACCCTTGCGTTGCTAGATTCAACCTCATTGGCAACTCGAAGAATTGGAGCAATATCACTCAGTGATGATGGAACCACCTCACTATCAAAAGCAGTCTCCCCAAGATTCCCTGCCGTCTGCGTCCGCAAAAGCTGCCTCTGCGGCTGTCCAGTTGGTTGGCTAGACCCCCCTCTGGACGACATCTTTGCCCCAGAGTCGCAGTAAGAACCTCAAGAAACACCTTGTTTTCCTGCAACTTAAGAAATCAAAGATACAATAACTCCAACCACGAATCAAGCTAGGAAATAAACAAGATTCAAACACAGTGAAACCCTAACCGTAAATCAAAACCAGAAAAGGCAACCAAAGAAGAAGAAGCAAAAATAGTAATCAAAAGGAGCCATACCAAGCGATCCAGAAAAGCTAAGACGCCGAATCTGACATCTGCAAACAGAAACAAGGAAACACTGGAAAGTAAGAAGAGAAAGTACACAGTAAGCACAATGTGAACTAGAATTCTTAAGAAGAAGAAGAAGAAAGCTCACAGAGAAAAACCCTTGCAGAATGTAGGCTGGTGGAGGGAGAGAGAAATGTTGATGCAACTTTAAGCGACTTAGCAGGAAAGAAAGAGGAAGCAAAAGGGTAAGTACTGAGAGCTGAGCTGAGACTAGAGAAAAGTGAAGTTTAGTGCGGAATTACTACTGCTGCCACCGAAAAAAAGAGTGCTGGAAATCTCGGAATTAACAGCAGTGCCATTCGCTGTTCAACGGCATCTTGACGCTACCTTATTACTGAAATGCCCCGGGTGTGTTTTTTATTGTCTTTTAATTTTTTTTTTCTCCTTTTTTTTTTTGTGTTGTGCTTTTTTTTTTCTTTTATTTATTACTTACTTATTTAAATTGTCTAAATAAGAAAAGATTAAAAAATAAATCTCATAAGCAATGCTTTTACTATTACTATAGAAAAAGTCAAAAGTTATGTAAAGGGTCTTGATTTTCTTATCTCTTTGATTTATTTAAATTCTTATAACAATAATTTTTTTTTAAGATAACATGTAGTATAAAATTTTAAATTTAAATTCTAACTAATAATCTCATGATGTTATAGTAGAAACTAATTTGTAGATAGATAATACTTATAAATATGACCAATAACATGTTGGTTTAAGTGGAAAGAGTTTGATTCTCTTTAAATAAGATTTTGAATTTGAATCTTATAAATAGAGAAACAAGCGTTTTGAGAGTTTTTTCAAATAAAGTCAAACATGACTCGATTTCGGATTAATCAGAATCCAATATAATTATTGGATATCAAAAAATTAATACAAAAAAAATACTTACTAATATGAGCTAATATTAAATTTATACGATATAAATCATGATTATGGGAAATTTTTTCATTTCTTTTGAGTTTTAATTTTAGTCATTTATTGGCAATTGGTACTAATTGGATTAATCATTTATCTTATATAATCCAATCTTTTACTGCTAATTTAGGTGTAAGCACAAAAAATAATAGGAAAATATAACATATTATTATCAATTATTAATACATATGAATAAGGTGACATTTAAGATTATATAAAAAAATTCTCAATTATTTTGCTCACAAATATTCTAACACTGACGACAAATTACGCAATCAAATTCAAACAAAAATTTCCTTTATTTTTCTTGGTATTAATCTCTCAATATTTAATAATTATATTAAATCTCGACTAATCAAAATTAAATCATATTAAACTTTATTAAAAAAAACTCTCTTATTATTAATCTTTCAATATTTAATAATTATATTAAAT